TACCCTCCTTCCCTTCCAAATACAGCTCTTACAGGAAAACACCATTTAGGTAGCATGAGGCCTCTTTGTGGTAGGGGGAGGGATTTGTAGAGTTACAAGTTGTGCTTGAGGTACTTTCTGCTTTATGGGTACCTTGGGTTCCAGCAAGCTCAGAGGCCAGAGTTGGCCCAAAGGAGAGAGAGCAGGAGCCATGGAAGGAGAATGGAGGATGAAGAACTTAGAGAAATAAAAGGGATTCCCCCAGGCCGTGTCCATCTGCGTTCCCCAAGCTAGGAGAGCAAACAGGGATTTGGGCATAAACAGGAAGCATTTCGTTTAACAGTCAAGTGCTGCAGTCCTGGATATAACTGGTTAACGTGGGAACAGAACCAGCTGCAAAGTTCAAGGGACCCCACAGAGGAGGAAATCAGATTTCTTGGTGGGTAAATGCTCAACCGATTGGGAGATGAACAAAGACATTTTAGAATAAGTGAGAGATGATCGGTTGAGCAGGCCAATGATGTGCATACTCATTCATTTAATGTTTGCTTGAAGTTCTATTATCTGTGTTATTTTTCACTGTGATACACACAGCAGTTCAAAGGATGCAGACTTGTGCGCCTCATCCCTTCCTGATGCAGTGAATGTTCGCATGCTGAAATGTGGCCTCCGTAGATTTTTTTTTTATCGTATATAAAATCCTGGTACTTAAGAGGCTTATCTATTTCCGGTATTTACAAGTGTGGACTCCAGTATAAGATTCCCCAGGTTTGAATCCTGGGTCCCACCGCGCACACCTGTGTGACTTGAGCAAGTAACACATTCTCTGACCATCACATTTTTTGTTTTTGCCCACCTATAAAATGGAGATAGTGATAATACATACCTCACAGGTGTATTGTTAGGATCAAGGAACTGATGTAAAGCACTTCCAGTAACGTCTGGAGCCTGGGAAGCACTGTAGTGTCATTACTACTACTAAAACGATTACTATTTTCATTCATACAAAAACGGGTGTGTGTCCTGTGTACGGTGATTTGAAAGTTTCATTTAAAACACACCTAGGGTGTTCTACGTACATGCAAAATTTAACGCATTCTTTGTAACAGTGATGGGATATTCTACAATATAGATGATCATACTTTATTCAGTCATTCTCCCTCTCAAAAGCTGGCTTGCCACACACACAGTGTTGGTATAAAGCTGAGGCTGCACTCAAGTCCCCACTCGTGATGCAGGACGGAGAGGAGGTGAGCTTGAGTGTCCCCACCAAACCCCACTCACCTCGGGCCACTAGTCCAGCCCAGGACACAGGTAGAAGGAGGCAACTCCACAGGAAGAGCCCTCTTCATTCTGGTCCCCTCCTTTTCAGGTGTCCAGGCCATCTGCCTGTGTCTTTGTCACTTTTCCACAGATAGTTCTTCTCCCATGAACTAGCTGGAAAGACAGCTAGTGAGAGAAAAATGTGAGTTCCCTGCTCTGAGCGTTGGAGGATCCGCACTGGCAGCGACAAGGGCCCCCAGAGGAGGGATCTGACGGGCGGCTCTTTCCGGGTGGGGCGTGTATGGGTGGCTGCCTGGGGGCTGCGTGCTGGGGTCTTATGTTGCCATAATGGGCAACTGTGGGGTGCCACAGTTTGTGGAAGTGGGGTAGGTGTGCTTTAGGGTAGAGAGTTGCACCCACAGGAGTCACAGATGGTTCCAGAAAACATCCTTCGTCATTTATCTCCTAGGTTTGCATTTATCTGTCTCCATTCATAGTTTCGTATGGCAGCGAGCATCCTTGTACATATATCTGTAATGCTGCTCTTATTTCTGTAAGCAGGGTAATCAGAAGAGGGATTGCTGGTCTGGGGACAGGCTCGGCCCTGAAACGGAGCTGCCACTCTGTTGACAAAGCAATCTGTCAGATCGCTCTCAGCTTCTCGGCCCGTCCGGCAAATTGCAGTAGTGTCCGCTTAGCCTTTTAGACATTGGGCATTATTGTCTGCCTTCACCTTCTCCGCCTTCTCCTCCTCCTCCCTCCCTTTCTCCCTCACCATCTCCCTTTTTTGACAATCTTGTGGGCAGCATCATGCATCCTATCGTGAATTGCCTGAAAGTGAGATTGAGCATATTTTCACAGACTAATTGGCCATTTAAATGTCCTCTTCTGTGAATATCTTCTCTTAAAAGGATAGGATTTCAGCAGATAGAAACATGTGGGAGAGGGAACAGGAAGGAAAGAGAATCTAAAATGACAGCAGGGTATGTCCAGGGATGCCAAGTGTTCTGGAAACTGCAGAGTGGCCGGAGACGTGGCTGGCAAATGGAAGGAGCAGCCCGCCCCGGGGACCTTAAACCCCAGGACAAAGGTGTCAGATTTAACCCCGTAGGAAAAGGCGAAGCTCCAGGAGGGGGTTCTCTTCTGGGAACTAATGTGATCTGTGGCTTTGGGAGAACAGAGGCCAGATCATCAAGACCCTGGTGACTTAGAAACTGGATCACTTCAGTCGAGGAATGAATTACCGAGCACCCGAACTAGGTTACTGGCAGTGTGGTTGGAAACCATGAACGATGACCTTGACAGGCCTGTGACCAGCTGGATACGGGACAGGAGAGAGAAGGGACACAACCGTGCCTGTGTGGTTTGCCGTCCTGGCTATTTGTGGACACCAGGAAGAACGGAGAAGGCACAAGCCCTTGGCAACCAATCACTTGCTGATTCTGTGGTCTCAAAGCTTCTCTGAGGTAGATGTCTCCTTAACAACTAGGGCCACTAAGCTCACACAGTTTGCCTAAGAGGAGCTAGTTTAAAGGGAAAAGAATAAATTTAGTACTTCTTTAGTTTTAGAGGCCTCTGCAAATGGTAGAACGTGCTCCTTCAGGAGGGATCTTGGGTTTATTCGTTACCTCAGAACCAGGGCCTTTTTGTCTGTGCCTTGGACCTTTACAAAGGCCCGTGGAAATATTTGAGAACTAAATGTAGTCATCGTTAGTTTTAGTGTCAGCATTGGCTCCAAAATGTGAAAACTATAAAATCAGAATCATTAGGGGCACCTGGGTGTCCCAGTTGGTTACGCATCCGACCCTTGGCATCGGCACACGTCACAATCTCATGGTTCGTGAGACCCAGCCCCGCGTCGGACTCTGTGCTCTGGCAGCATGGAGCCTGCTTGGAATTGTCTCTCTCTCCCTCTGTCTCTGCTCCTCCCCCCATCATCTCCCTCTCAAAATAAATAAACTTAAAAAAAGTCATTAAATGCTTAGTCCAGTATTTGTAAATTCTAACATTAGGTTTGCTTGTTGTTCACTTTGTAAGAATTCTCTATTATGCACGTTGGCAAGTTAAATAGCTTACCCTTAACCAAATAATTATAAGCAAACATACATGTGTATGTGTGTATATACACATATAAGTGTATATATGTATATATATATATAGGTATATGTATATATATATATATAGGTATGTATATATATGAAATAAGTAATTGAAAGGCACTTAACCTGTTACTTCCTTTAATCCTTGGGACAACCTGATGTGGTAGATACTCTTATCCCTTCTTAATGAATGAGGAAATGAGGACGGAAATGTGCTGCCCATCTCACAGTCAGTAAGCGAACAGCTGAGATTCAAGCCCTGGTAGCCTACCTCCAGAGTCTGGGCTTGGAGCCGCTTTGCCATATTGCCTTCAGAGAGAATATTCTCTGACAAGGGAAACAGAAAGTAAAGAGGTTACGGGCCCAAGACTAAAAACCTGGGACTTTTCAGAAGGGGTAAGAGAAGGCTGGAAAGTAAATGGGTCAGCAGGTTGAAGATGTTGCGCTTGGCCCAGGCAGTAACGTTACTGGTGGTGACAGCCTCGGGGACCGGCCCTGTCCGGTGCCACCGGGTGGGCAGTGAGAACGGCAAGCCCTCGGTGTCCTGATGATGAAAACACATCTGCTCTTGAGGGGATCGCTCCAGTGCCGTGCCCACAGTGGAGGTCAGACTGTAGTGCATCCCAAGCAGGGAGCTCACAGGGAAGCAGCAGAGGATTTATGCGAGGCCACGGCCACAGACATACACACCCGTCTCCACGGTGTCTGGGCACAAGTGAGAATCGGCCATCGTTTCATAATGTGTTGCATACATTCCGCTTCTGGATTCAAGCCACAGAGGACTTCCGCTTTCCTCTTCTCCAGCTGTGACTGTGACCAAGGACACTTCTCAGAGGACGCAGGCTTTCCAGACTGAAACTCTGGGGTCCCCGAGCTGCACTTAGTGAGATCGGTGTGGGAGCTGAGTGGGGTGGGGACAGCATGCTGCACCAGTGTGTGTGTTTCTGGTGGCTGCTGTAAGACATTCCCACGAACTGGGGGACTTCAAACGGCAGAAATCTATTCTCTCCCAGTCCTGGGGGCACAGAAGTTTGAAGTCAAGGTACTGGCACAGTGGTTCGGTCTGCAGGTTCTGAAGGAAAATCTGCTCCTCGCCTCCCTCTCTTGGCTTCTAATGCTCACCAGCAACCTTTGGCCGCCCTTGGTGTAGATATATCACTCCCATCTCTTAGCATTCTCCCCTGTGTGTCTTGTCTGCATCCAGATTTCTTCTTAAAGGACGTGACTCATTGAATTAGGGCCCGCTCAAATCCAGTATGGCCTCATCTTAACTGGATTGTACCTGCAAAGACCCTATTTCCAAAGAAGGTCGCATTCACAGGTACCGGGAGTTAGGACTTGAATGTATCTCTTTGGGGACACAATTCTGCCTTCATTTCTGTTTGTTTCCTTCTGCGGTAGAAAAGTGCCGGGCTCTTTTAGTTTAACCACAGGAGTTTAGGAGGACTGGTCAGGGTGCGACGCACTCTCCTGGATTGGATACCTTGACCCCCCTTGGTGAGTCCCTGAGTCATTTCATAGAGTCAGTCTCGTCTGCATAGACAGAAGAATTGCCCCAGCTGGGGGAGCAGTGAACTGTCTGGCTTGTTTATTTATTTGTTTATCTGTCCTTCCCCAAACTGAGTCTTTGATTTTCTCTCTACAGAAGCCGATCCAGCCATGGCGACTCCCTCTGCTGCCTTTGAGGCCCTTATGAATGGAGTGACCAGCTGGGATGTCCCCGAAGATGCCATCCCATGTGAACTGCTTCTCATTGGAGAGGCCTCCTTTCCGGTCATGGTGAATGACATGGGCCAGGTCCTCATTGCTGCCTCCTCCTATGGCCGAGGCCGCCTGGTGGTGGTGTCCCACGAGGACTACTTGGTAGAAGCCCAGCTCACTCCCTTTCTCCTCAATGCAGTGGGTTGGCTTTGTTCTTCCCCTGGGGCTCCCATTGGCATACACCCGTCCCTGGCACCCCTGGCCAAAATCCTTGAGGGTTCTGGGGTAGAGGCGAAGATTGAGCCCGAAGTGAAAGACTCCCTGGGGGTTTACTGCATTGATGCCTACAATGAAACCATGACAGAAAAGTTGGTCAAGTTTATGAAACGTGGAGGGGGCTTGCTCATTGGAGGCCAGGCCTGGGACTGGGCCAACCAGGGCGATGACGAAAGGGTGCTTTTCACGTTCCCTGGCAACCTCGTGACCAGTGTGGCCGGCGTGTACTTCACTGACAACAAAGGGGACACAAGTTTCTTTAAAGTCTCCAAGAAGATGCCCAAGATCCCAGTCTTAGTTAGGTAAGTGCATTTACCCCAGTGGGGATTTGGTTGCAGGTTCAAAAACAGACATGGTTCTTGTCTTTAGGTTGCTCCCAGGCTAACAGAAGAGAACCTGGCACTTAGGCATTGATTCACCCTAAATCAACCAGATTTTAAAAATACCCTGAGGCACAGGAGGGTTCCTGCCTTCTCAGACCAGGCACTCAGACCAGACCATTGCTGTTGCCTCCCAAGACCAGACCACTTGGCTCTTTGAGCAGAGAAACTTCTTAGTGACCATGATGTTCCCTGACGTCTAGCTTGAAATATGTTGTTTGTGCTAAGTCTAAGAGTTAGGGGAGGATTTTATGTCTGCAGGCAAAAGACCTGATGATGGAGAATGAGGGACACCAATGACGGGTACAGAGACAGGCGACATGGAAGGTTCTTTAAGAGCACTAACCAGCCTGTTCTGTACACACTATGCTCCAGCATCTCATACAGTGCTGGATGTAAGCAGGTTTGTAGATGCTCAGTAAACATGTGTTGGCTGGTGACTGGATGGATGAATGAGGGAGAGTAGAGGCTGGTGTCATTCCAGGAGTAGAAGAAGTGTACCAGGCCACACCCTGTTGTACATTAAAACTCACAGCATCCTTGGAGCAAAGAGCACTGGTATTTCTGACTGGTGGGAGCATGGTAAAGTAGGGTTGGGTGAGGAAGGCACAGCAGGGTTAGAACAGACATACAGATCATGGGCTGTGGCCTCTCCTTGGCATGGGACATTTGAAACAAAACCCCATATGTGCAAGGAGGAAAGACACGGCTATTCTGGGGCATAGTGACTGATCAAATTGATCAAATTTCAGTTTACCGATGACCTTCATCCTAAGGAATAGGGAGGGAAGGCTTGGCCATAATTCTCTTTCTTAACTACCTAACCCCCCTTACTTGCCTTCAAAGATGTTTTTCTCTATCAAAACCATACTTCTTTTTCCTTTGGCTCTACCTAAATCATTTCTCATCATCAGTGATTCTGAATTGCGGGTGGAGCTCGGTTGTGTGTGTGAGTGCATACACACTCATGTATGTGTATGCACACGTGTAAAATCAACTGGAAGACTGATGCTTGAGGGAAAATCAGAGTTAATAAGGCAAGTATGCAGACTCTGTTGTGGAGATTGTGGGTTTTAGTTTTGGTTGTTAACTAGGTGAGACGGCATCACAATCATTGACTGTCTTTACTTCTACAGGTAGCTATAGCGAAGCATTGCTCATATGTTAAGTGGGTCATTTTAGACGTGTAGATGGATTGAAGATGGCAATACTGATTTTCCTGAGCTGAGCGTGTGCATGTGTGTGTGTGAGGGAGAGAGAGAGAGGCGTGAAATACTGATTAAATGCATACGTTGAGATTAGTATGGGAAAAGAGAAAACAAGAACCCTCTCCTCCTCTCCCCATAGTTTTAATATTCACTCTCTTGTAGCCAAGGCTGAAAAGTAGACGTTGAGGGATATTTCTCCCACCTGATGTTGTTGCAGTTGCTAAACTATATATTTATCCACATTCATTAATTATAAACCTAAATCTGGGGCCCCTGGGTGGCTCAGTCAGTTGAGCATCCAACTTAGGCTCAGGTCATGATCTTGCAGTTCTTGAGTTCCATCCCCACATCAGGCTCTGTGCTGACAGCTCAGAGCCTGGAGTCTGCTTCAGATTCTGTCTCCCTCTGTCTCTGCCCCTCCCTTGCTCGTTCTCTCCCTCTCTGTCTCTCTCTCTCAAAAATAAACATTAAAAAATTTTTTTAATTATAAACCTAAATTGAGTGAATTTTACTTTATGTAAATTAGACCTTAATAAACCTTTAAAACTAGCATTTTTATTTATTTATTTTTTATTTTTTAATTTAAATTCAAGTTAGTTAATGGGTGCCTGGGTGGCTCAGCCCATTGAACGTTTGACTATTGATTTCAGCTCTGGTCATGATCTCAGAGTTTGTGGGTTCAAGCCCTGCACTGGGCTCTGCGCTGACAGTGTGGAGCCTGCTTGTGCTTATCTCTGTCTCTCTCTCTGCCCCCTGCTCCCCCGTTCATGATCTCTCTCTCTTTATCTCTCTCTCTCTCAAAATAAATAAACATAAAAAAATACAATAAAATAAATTTAAGTTAGTTAACATACAGTGTGGTATTGGTTTCAGGAGAAAAAATAGATTTTTTAATAGGACTTTAAAAAAAATAATCAGAGACAATCAGATTCATGTCCAAGGATATGCAATGCAGCACTATTTGTAATAAGGAAGAGTAGTATAGCTAAATAAATTAGAGAATTATTAACCAACCATTAAAACTATTTCCAAGAATATAGTTTTAGGCATGGGGAAAAGGGCATGGAAAAAACCTCTCAGGGGGTACTATGAAATGAAATAAAGTAGGATACTAACCTGTTATTCAGTATGTTCCCACTTCTGTTCAAAAAATATAGCTATGTGTAGAAAATATTATCAAAGGAGAAGGCCATAATATCACTTCACATACAAGAACATTAAAGACAAGAAAAATAATTTAGAAGTCCTGTTAAAGATCTTCCACATCTATCAATGCACCATTCTATGACATAAACAAAAAATATAAAACCAAATTTAAGTCTCTTAGTTCAATTTTTTTGACATCTCTGATATACATATAAATGTGTGTGTGTGTGTGTGTGTGTGTGTGTGTGTGTGTGTGTGTGTGTGTATTGCCAATTGCCAATACTTTTGAATTATGTTTCTTCTTCATGGATGGTCTTTTAAACCACTTTTTCAATATTGTGGGATCTATTATTTTTTTAATTTTCATTTTATTTAAAAAAATTTTTTTTAAGTTTATTTATTTGTTTTGAAAGAGAGACAGCACGTGCATGAGCAAGGGAGGGGAAGAGAGAGAGGGAGACAGAGAATCCCAAGCAAGCTCCCCGCTGTCATTGTGGAGCCCAATGCAGGGCTTGATCTCACAAACCAGGAGATCATGACCTGAGCTAAAATTAAGAGTTAGATGTTTAACCAACTGAGCCACCCAGGTGCCCCTAATTTTCATTTTAAAAAGTAATGTCATAAACTCACAATACAACTCTTTTCATCTTCATATATTATTTTCCCCATTCATCCATAATTTTACATCATTGTCCTCTTAGTATACATGCTAGTTTGAATTCTACTCACGAATATTTTTCATTCTATATAATCTTTAAAGTTATATTTGATTCACTTCATAAGAATGCAGTGCATACACCATATTTATTTAATCATTTGCCTGCTGTTGAGCATCTCGATCTTTCTCTACTCTTGTTCTTATAGATAGTACTGCAGAGAATATCTTCAAAACATTTTAGAAGTATTAGACAATACAAGACACCAAGATGATTCTATTAGAATTCAAGGGAGATTATTTCCATCACCGGCTGAGCGAGGTTCAGATGGAAAGCCCCTATGGATTTAGTTACTCTGCCAAAGTATCTTATTTATTTTTAAACCCTCATTTAAACATAAGAGTGTGAATTAAGCTAACCTTAATCTTATTACTTGCATATTTCTTACTAAATTAAATTCTACATACGATCCTGGGATCCTCTTAGCCTTCTAAAAGAGTAAACTGTCCACAGGTTGTTATCAAGATGAATCACATTTTTAGCAGAGGAAGAGTCTAATTTATGATCAGAAAAATAATATCCCTAAGTAATAAAACCAGATGATCTACTTTTAGCCGGGTGAGAATACCCACAGTTGTCAGGACATGAGCCTCCTAGTCACTGCCCTGGTTTCCTGCCTGGAAAGCAAAGCGTCATCATCTGCATTTAGAACACTAGCCTCCATGGGCCACCTGGGTGGTTCAGTCGGTTAAGCTTCTGACTTCGGCTCAGGTCACCATCTCATGGTTTGTGAGTTCAAGCCCCACGTCGGGCTCTGTGCTAACAGCTCAGAGCCTGGAGTGTGCTTTGGATTCTGTGTCTCCATTCTCTGTCTCTGCTCCTCTCCCGTTTGTGTTCTCTCTCTCAGAAATGAATAAACATTAAAAAAAAATTTATTTTAAGAAAAACACTAGCCTCCACGTGCCCTGTAAGACCAAGCCACATGTAGGCTGTTCCCTGAGCGATTTCTACTCTCCTACCAGCTTCATTCAGTGCCTCGATTGCACCTTGGCTCTGAGGCCAGTGGCACTGCACTTTATGTGCAAAAGAAGCCTCACCTTCTATTAAGTATTTCATTTGAAAAACACTGGGTCCATTGTCATAAACTACCTGGTCCCATTGCAGGACTCAATATTCATATAACCTGGAAAAGGCCCAGATTTTAGAGTAGGCAGACTTCAGTAAGTTCCCAAGCTCTGTCTGGTGCATGTGCTATAACCTGGTGTTGGAGCCACCCTCTCTAAGCCTCATCTTCAAAGTGGGATTAACAATGACTACCTTTCAGGGTGGTTGTGAGGATTAAATGAATGAAGAAAACATGCTCAAATACCTAAGGCACTTTAATTATTCTGACATCCAGCCTCCACACTATGGTATGTAAGTTGTAGGATGCCATGAATATCATCCCCAACCACTGATGATTACCTAGCATCCATCATTATGCTGCTTTACCCCAGGTCATGTGTGTTCTCCAAGTTGTGTAAAGTATTGGCCTTTTAGGAAATTATTTATTTATTTTGAGAGAGAGAGAGAGCGAGAGAGCATGTGCATATGTTTGCATGCAAGAGGAGAGGGGCAGAGAGAGAGGGAGAGAGAGAATCCCAAGCAGGCTCCAGGTGGTCAGCACAGAGCCTGACACCGAGGCTCCATCCCACCAACCTTGAGACCGTGACCTGCGCTGAGATCAAGAGTTGGACGCTTAACCGACTGAGCTACCCAGGCACCGCAAATATTGGCATTTTTACCCATGTTTCCACCTACTTCCTCTACCAAACTGAAGCTGCATCATCATGATCAGTTGCCATATTTTATCCTCTTTATACATTTAATAAAACAGGTACTAGGGACCGAATTGGCTCCACCAATAAGAGAT